TATAAACACCAAGACACGCTTTACTCAGTCTGGCGCATTATTTCTTATGCAGCGTATGTCACCAGAGGATAAACGGTCAACACGGCCAAAATAGATATTTCACACGTCTACCGATTTCCTGCAATCGTTTTTTACAACATTATCTCTCAACCGACGTTTTCCAACCAATTAAATCATACCTGTTTCATTTGTTCATGGTCGCCGGCACTCTTGGAGCGCTCTCTTGATGACCATTGTGTCTGAGTGTGTAAGGTGCGCGTGTGACTGTGTATGATGTGTTTGTGTGTTTGTGTGCGGTTAGCTTTTTGTTTGTACGTGTATCGTGTATTCACTTTTTTTAACTGGACTGCTTTCGCAGTTGGGTTTTCGCCTGTGGGTTACTTACGCCCTAAATAAACAAATAAAGGTACTCCAGATGCAAATAAGGCAATGGTCATGTTTGTCTTGACCTTGGACACAATATGCCCATTGAGGAGGGGATTCGCCTGACGTGTCGTTGGTATCATACATCTCAGTGTAATTATAAAAAATACGCGGCGGGAAGCCCGCACAAATTTACGTGCGTCTGGCTGAAAAACGAAAGTATTTGAAGTCTTGAAAAAGACAATTTTAAACTGCAGGGAGTCATCTGAAGCATAACCTAAAAAGATAAAAAGGGTCTAACTTTGAAGTGCATGGAATCGTCTTGATAATGGGTATATCAAACGCATACAAATGTGGAAGGGTGCCTATAAAGGCTGTGTGCAAATATATTATTTGTGTATGATTGTTTTGGGAAATGTTATTTGTCGCCTTGTCTAGCCTGATTGAAAACCGTAAATTAAAAGATAACCGTAGATATTTGTGTAAACGTAAAAAACAACTTCTGACTGTTTTGGCGTGCCGCCTAATGTTGGTTAAATGAATAGGTAGAAATCAAGCATGATCCAGATGTGTGTCATGGGACTGGGCTTCACGTCTCAAAGCTGTGCACAAACGTCTCAGATATATACCCTGGGACTGAAACTCACGTCTCAAAGCTGTGCACAAACGTCTGAGATGTACAACGTGGGACTGGGCTTCACGTCTCAAAGTTGTGCGCAATGTCTGAGATGTATAACCTGGGACTGGGCTTCACGTTTCAAAGCTGTGCACAAACGTCTCAGATATATACCCTGGGACTGAGCCTCACGTCTCAAAGCTGTGCACGAACGTCTCAGATATATACCCTGGGACTGGGCTTCACGTCTCAAAGCTGTGCACAAACGTCTCAGATATATACCCCGGGACTGAGCCTCCCGTCTCAAAGCTGTGCACAAACGTCTGAGATGTATAACCTGGGACTGGGCTTCGCGTCTCAAAGCTGTGCACAAACGTCTGAGATATATAACCTGGGACTGGGCCTCACGTCTCAAAGCTATACACAAAGATATCAGATGTATATCCTGGGAATGGGGCTCACATTTAGAAAATGCACTTAAAAGGTGCACACTGCGTACCCGTTTCTCAGTCCGATCCTCGTGCGTTAATTTCAAGGACAATAAGCACATATTTGGCATGTCGATGCGTAAATGTTCCCAACGCTTCCAGTGAGGAGTGCCGGTAAATGCCCCGTATTATCGGGCGAGGATTGCATGGAAAGCGCTACGGCGTAGCATGTAGCACCGTGCAACACTGTGGCATTGGTGCGGATCAGAGGCGTCGTAGAAATGTGTTTTTTATATGCGAATGGCCCCTAATTTATGGAATGGTCCCAACAACAAGCAAGCCACCACTAGTTGCCAACAAAGGTGTCGCAGTGAGGGATAACGTTCACACGTATCCCGGCATAAAAATAGCCTCTGGCATCAAACTTGATGAACAACCAAGTGGTCGTTATCTCACACCGAAAGCAAACAATTGGGGAGCAGAGCATAGATCATAAGCTGCGTTGTTGTCGTCCACTGAATATTACAGCTTTTTGAATATTTGCATTCTTTCATGTTTTGCTGCTTAAAAGGGACTGGAAGTGGAATTGTGTTGAGGATTGCAGTCAATCGCTACAGGAAGGCTGAATGGGACTGAAAGTGCATTTTCAAGACAGCACCAGAGCTGCACGTTTATCAGCGTCAAAAGAATTAATCCATGTTTGGCGTGCGGCTGTTCCTCTGGTCAGGTTAGCCTGTGGTACGGCTCAGCCCACTGGCTGGGTGCAGTTGTTATCTGTATGCCTGAGAGTGATTCATCATCTGTCACCGGAATCCCCGAGCCTGACCGCGGCAGGGCGTTTTGCAATGGTCGGCTTCTGCGATCTCTTGTCTGTCGGAACAGCAGTTTATCACTGCTGATGTCAGCGCAGCCACATCGTGCAAGTAGAGCGTGACTTGGTCTATCAGAGATCTGCAGGCAAACAGGGACCTCGTTGCATGTCCACTGAACTGGCTGTGCTTAGTCCCGTTCAGTCTAGTTCTTTGTTTTGAGCGAGGCCGGAGACCGAGCGAGTGCTGGCCCTAGTGCGTGTGCGGCGCCGAAAGGTGCAGTGACATACGGAGGTCAGGTTTTGCCCCCCCCCCCCCCGTCTGATTTCCACAGAAACTGGGCAGATTTTTTTGGTGCACTTCTATCCATTCGACAAGACGTAAAATACAATTACATTTTTACAACTACACTGGCATTTTTGTAGCTAACATTTTACCAAATCGAATGATTTGGAAAGGAGGTTGTATGGGCAAATAGGAGGTTGTACAGTGGTTTTGATCCGAGTCATTCCTGCTGGGAAGATGGCCGATTTGCATATAAGTGCGTAGTTCAATGGGCAATGGGCGCCTGCTGTACATGCTGGGAGCTGTGTTGATGACTGAAGAATGTTGAGCATATCCAAACGGTGCAAACAGGAGGGGTGATTCTGGCAGAGCTTGAATTTGGAATTTGTCATGACTTTTTTTCTGTTTACTGGCATTAACATAGAATTAATTATTACGATGGCATCATACTAACATGTAAAAGATGCCGCGTACACAGTCGTGAGGACTTATATTTTAGATATAAATGATGTGTCGGGTATATCCTAGAATGCATTGACGTTGTCGTAGGTGGATTCAAGTGAGTTTTGTAGTTTTAGCAAGAACATGGGGAAAACCTCCCAATGGGTTTTTCGTGGCGCTGCAGCATGTTTCATTGAAATACCCAATTTATGTTTTGTTCAAACGCACATACCATAGCACACGCGCCCATGGTGTCAAAAGTGGGAAGTGGCGGCGACATGTACAGAAATTGAGAGCGAGAGAAGTCCAGTTATGTATCACAGGCAGTTTTCCTCCCTTCCGTACCCTGAAACCATCTCTTCAAAACATAAAATAGTGCTTTCTTCAGTACGCGTTCTGTAAGTGTGCGTTCCACGTTTTGTCAGGCTGACATCATCGTTGTCATGCGATTGTGGTATTTGACTTGACATTGCGCCGCATCTGACAGATATATCCTAGGCGCACTACGGCTAGGTGAGATGAACGCCGACCTTTTAAGATACATCCTGCGATGACGGATGTCACGTACCAGCGGGGTCGGGTTCTCATGAAGTTTATTGGGGGGGGGGGGGGCTTTTGTCGATCTGTTGGTGGCTTAGGGCCAATGTCTGGCAAAACATTGAGGCGGCCCAGACCACTTTAAAGGGATACAAAGCAGCGGCGCAGCAGCATCGTGCCGCAGCCCTCTGACGGTGGCGGGGCAGCGGTTGTCCGCCTGTGAGGCGGTGCTTCCCTGGCCGTGAATCAGTCGAGTCCCGTGACCGGTCGTCCCCCCCCCCCTCCCCCCTGTTGTGTCGGGTAGCCGTCACCTGACCCTCCCCTCTCTTCCCGCGCCGGGCTCATCAGCGTGACTGGGCGGAAACCGGCGGAGGCGACCGTGCGGATGCCGCAGCCATCTGGCGTCGCCGCGCACCGCAGCGCCATGTGACGCTTATAGCCCCCCCCCCCCCCTCCCCCCTCCTACACACTTGCTCCGACTTGTCCCTTGCAGACTGGTGTGCTCAGATCCAATCCTGATATGTGCGATATGTGGCGTGACTTCGTGATTGCAGAACTCGTTTGTTAAATAAGCAACAGATTCAGACCAATATTCACGACTTATGGTCTGCTTCGGGTCTGTAATAGGCCACGCTGAGTTCAGCGCTTGTGCTTGTCGTGTTGAGGTCATTATATATGCTAACGCAAGTTTGCGCGAAAGTCGAAGGAGTGAACTTTTAGCGACATGACCTGAGGACTGCTAAAACCCGTTGCTGTGTAACAGGAATGCGACCTATAAGAAGTTGCGCGCCGGTCCCAATTTCGGCACCCATTGCGGTCAGGCCACGCTACCTGTGGGTGTATATTTTCCGGCCAATCAAAAGTTCACTGTCGGGCGAACAACGATAAGCACGTGAATACGCATGCTGCCAACTTCGAGTCTGGAAAAGCCAAAACACCGTTCCGGTTGTGAGAATATTGACCGTGAGTGAGAGCTGTCAGATGTCAGTGTGTTTAACAGTCGGCTATTGCCTCCCCGTACCTCCCCCACGGCTAGTGGCTACATACTGCGGTCGATTTGACATCAACGGTCTCCACAACCATCCCTTTTTAAATTGTCGTGAAGTTCTTGCAGGGGGGGGAGGAGGACATGTATTTGGTTTCGTGGAGGTTCTCGGATACCGAGACCGGAGACAGGCACAGAAACAGAGGCCGGACGAGACCGAGACGCGCAATCTCGGAGGGCGCAATCTGTACAGATAGTTCCTTAAAATAAGCGCTATGGCCGCTGAGTTGAAAGGCACAGCTCTTTTGGACCACGAAGACAAGGAAATCAGCCGATGGTGTGGACATCGGTGCAAGGGAATCAGTCTGTGACCTGTACAACGGTACAAGGGAATCATTCCGTGACTCGAACGTCGGTGCGAGGGAACCAGTCGTGCAATCTGTCGGTGGCTATGGGTCTGGGAGAATATATGGAGAAATGTGTAAATGCTGCTTCTATAACCCGCTTTGATGGTGAAAACATCACTGCTGGCGATAATGGCCACCACCACGTGTGCAAGCTTCATACGTGACATCACTGAGTGTCCTACGACCGCTCTTGCCTCCTATTCTCAAAGGCAGTCGAAGTGAGATTTTGTCGGCAGCCTGGCTTAGCGTCCCCATCCAGTCCCCGCGCTGGTGTAAAGGTGCCCTGTAGATGCTGACGTGCCCGTAAACCCCGAACAACAACCTATGCGCTGGCCCCGTTGCTGGCTGAGCGGCGAGCTGAGTTGACGCCTTTACCGCTGCCTCTGCCGCAGGTTCTTCAGCCAGCGTTACACGACGGTGGCGCGACACGTGCTGTTGCACTCACATCACCCGACCTTCGGCTACTCTTTTGCCATCGTAGGCATCAATCTGACGCACCTGGCGCTGGAGCTGGTGCGCAGCGGGCAGGCGCGTGCCCATTTCTACAACGTTTGCCAGCGGCACGTCACCGTCGAGACGTTCCACAGGTTCTACTGCTACCTCTTCTACAAGTTCGACGCCTTCTGGCTGGCGGCCAAGCCGCGGGACATTATGGAGTTTGGGAGGATTCGAGACAGGTTTGCGGACACGATGCGCCAGGCTATGAAAGATGACAACGTCAAACTGAATATGAAACTGGTGGTGCAGAACGTTTGAGCAGTTCTGTTTGTGCGTTTGGGGGAGAGGGTCGATATGTCCCCATGCCACCGTCTTACTGTTCGCTTGGTCTCTGTGCTGCTACGTAGCGCGGTGCCGTCGTGTGGTCTATCCCAAAATGCCCAGTTTAGGGCTTCCAGTTTTGTTCAGTCACTAGCGCTCTGTGATGGTCATCAGCAAGGTTTAGCCCAATGGGATGGAACGAGCGTAGAGCTCTCGGGAACGCGCACTGGCGTGACCTCGTTGGAACCCACTGCCATGATGGCTTTGAGGGCAGCCTTGTCTGAACGGTCGCGGCTCGACGCCGCTCGGCCCGTATCAGTGGTGTGATCGGCCCGTATCAGCGGTGTGTGCGGACGCGGCCGACCGTGGACTCTGCTCTTCGAACGGTCTTTTATCAGCTCGAGTGTCTATTTGTTCTTTAGTTTGGTCGGCGATGCCCATTTCCGTGGAGCTCGAGTCCGATCGCTGTCTTCACCCGCTGTAGCCACGGCCGGCGTGGTCTCCAGCTCTGGCATCCTCAAACCGGGAGCGCGCAGGTCATTTAGGCACGCGCAAAATGCGGTTTTTACCCCAACAAGATCACTTTATCTCTTAGTAATGATGATGGCTCTGGCACATTGAAACGAGGCGTAGTGATAATTGGGTAGAATCTCCGCCGAACCGTTGCGTCATTTTGTGAGTATGTTTGTGTGCCCTGTCTAGTCAACTGTGTTACGTTAGGCGATGCCAGTCAACTCTTGTGATACACACTGTGCACATATCAAGGATGTCACGGACGCTGCGAACGCCGTTCAGTTTCCCGTTTTGTGGCGACCTCAGGTGCTGTTTGTCACTAGGGAGGGGCACCGACCGCGCTAGTTCCATTATTTGAGGGTACATTATTTGTCCATGATTTGCTCGCTGGCGTGGGTGAGTGGAAGTAGCGATAAAAATTGTGAATCAAACGAAATAAAACAGCATGCTTCGGCTCCTTTCGTGTGACAGGCTTGAGTCCGGCGCTTTTATTTACGCTCTTCATCGTACCTCGTGACCCTCAGCCACGACCTTTGGGCGTGTGTGGCACGGCGCTGTATCGCAGACTGACCTTGCTCTGTATTAAGCACTCGTGGTCGTCTTTGACACGACGCCGTATTGCGGCCTGACCTCGGTCTCGAGTGAACACTCGTGATGGGCAGGATAAAATTGCGATAATCTTTCGTCGAGAATTTGGAGGCCGCCGACGAAACGCGAGGTTTTGATGCCTTAAAGTTGAGCTTTCTCAATGCATTATGTTCAGACTTGCACTGTGCTTTGTGACTTCCCCTCAGCATTGCGAAAAAAATGGGCCATATCCGGCAAAAACATATTTGCTGGCGTATGTTGGGGGTAAATTGACGCATTTTCACTGTTCAGCGCCTCCCCTTCACTCCATACACAATTATTTTGCGAAATTACGCCCCTGAGGTTGGCTACTGTACGGTGTCGTATCGTATCGGCCGCTGTTCTCCAATTCGTACCAGCGTTCCATCCATGATTACAATCCGTGGGATTAGGGGCGACCGGTCTGTGTATAGGTCATCATTTATTCAACATGACCTTTGGGCTCTGTTATATTTAATGTTCGAAAGGCATGCGCCACGCTTATTCTCCCAGTTTTCTGTGATGTTTTGCTAAACCTGTCGGGAATGCGTTTGGCGACCCTCTGCGTTAAGTTACGGAAATTGTCCTGTTTCCGTATTCTGGTTAATGTTGCAACGCCATCGTTGTTTAGAGTTCCGGTAAAATCCTTTAAAAGCCCGGTACAGGCGATGACCTGTCATGTATTATACCATCCAGAGATTTTTCTGTCGCCGCTTGTGACTATCGTAATCCCGTCGATCGCCGTGTTAGCCTGATCGATTGTGTTTGCAGCACATCTGTCTGCTTAATACTCTTGCTGTTACATCAAGTAAAGACGTCTTTCGACGTGTCAGCCACCGTGCCCTAAAAAATCATGCCAGTTTACCGTTGTCGTCCTCAACGTCTTTAACACTACTTTTTAGCCTCAGAACATGCAGTAACCTCGTCGTCCGGAATATCAGACATGTTTGCCTCGGATTTTTGTACCGGCGACATTGGATCAGTTCGTTATTCTCTCCTCGGGATTCGCAATTGCTTCGCTTTTTTATCGATAGCAGGCCCTCTAAGGCCATCAGTGTTGAACCGTATATTCTTGACTGCAATCTCAAATCCCAATGAAATACAAATATGCCGGGAACTCATGTGTCGGATACATGGCGTTCAGGCGAGTTTCGGAATTTGTACTATAATTTTTTTCCTTCTAATTTTATATTTGGTGTGTAATTTGTCATCTCATCTGATAAGTTAAGAGGGTGTAGGCGTCTGTCTGTATATGTGCGCATTTCTTTAGCCAGATGCGTTGCACGGGTGAACGCACGGGTTACCTGAAATACGCACACGACGGGTGTAATCTTCTCGGCGATTTCCGATTTAAATTTATACGGGTCCAATACCGGTGTCGGTTAGAGGTCGTGAGAGAGTGGAGCGTGTTTTTGGCAAACAGTGCGGAGACATTTTTCGTCTGTGTAGGCGAAATAAGAAATTCAATGTTGAAGCCGTCGAAAACTGCTGCAAGGCTCGATTTCCTTGAAATTCGGTCGCGTGGCAGGTATTACTATGGTAATGATCCATGACACTAATACATGCGTATCCGATGCCAAGTTCGGCTATAGTGCGCGCAAGAGTGGCGTATTTTGGGGCTACCTTGGGAGACAGTTCCATAGATGAAGGACGAAACAAGCTGGGCTAAGGCTAAACGAAGGCCCTACAACAACGGCTAAGCCATAGAGAACATGCCGCAAAGCTCGAGTAGTGCTGAATATAGCGTCTCCACTCGCAGGAGAATGTTGCTTGACGCGAGCATGGAAGGCTTAGCAAAAACTGTTCGCGGCACGCCGTGCATCACTGACTTGCGAACCAGTGGTATGTGGGTTGAGGTAGTGCTACACCTGTGCGAACGGTAATGCGAACTCTCCACGCGTAGAAACAAGTGGGAGCCATAACGAAATTGTACCCATTAAATGATCTGGGCGCGTGGAATGGCATCACACTAGCAGTGTGCCTTAGTGATTCATGGGTGTTGAATAGTTCAAAAATGCTGGCCGAGATCCACTTCATATTATTGAGACATGAGCCACCGTTACGTTGGTGTGAGCGCTGCGGGCCCCGACCACATGGCCTCTTCGGGCAACGATGCGTCTGGGAACCGCGTGTGCTTTCCAGTATGCTAAATTAAGAGCGCACGTCTGTCTATCTGTCCGTGTTCATATGCGCATTTAGCCAGATGCACAGCACAGACAGGTCCACGGATTATCGTGGAGTTTGCAAAGGCGACGGGCCCAACCCTTGCTACAGCCCACGACATAAATTCACGCAGGTCTGTCACGGGTTTCGAAAACAACACCCGCGGAAAGTGGGCTTATTTTACATTGTGCATTTATCAGGAATAGGCTTGGCATGTGTGGGAGAAACAGACTGCACAAAGACCATGCTGTCGAAAACACAGTCTGTTCATGCAGCTGCGAGGAACATGACACACGGAAGAGCTGTACTGATGTCTTTAATATCTAATATCTCTCTTAATAAATTTAATATCTAACTAATATCTTCCGGACGGCATTTAATAACTAGGAGAAAAGAGCGATGTTTCGATATTTCGGCCACAAACCTCTGTTGAAACAAATATGAGCAGCAGATTCAAAACTGCCTGCCAATTCCACTTGACTTTTCAATTTCTTCTTGTAGGATTCCGCCGAGGAGGTCCAAAAGGTAGCCCCACCTAACTTCCCTCCCTACATTTCAACATGAAACTTCTCAACGCCTTCCATAGCCTCCCAATAGCTTATGTCTCATGGCCCAGACCCTCAAATCACCCACACGCTAAGAAGCTCCGCCCACGACTTGTGCAAAGGTCAACACCCCATCACCTTTGCCAAAAAAGTTCGCCGCCTCAAAGTTAATGGGCGGGATTATGACAGATGTTTACCATTCCCTTCGTTGTTTTGACGAGAACGAAACCCTTAATCCATCAACAAAGAATTGAATCTGCTATTAAATGGATTAAGTACTGAATGGGTACGTGCCCGCCTTGGTGCAAGTGCAGCCAAACGAAGTGTACCTGGCAGCCTTGTTCTTGACAAGCCACCTGCCAATGTGGCAGTTGTCCTTGGGAGAGGACGCCAGCCATGTGCGATGCACAGACCAACTTTTCACGGCTCTTCACGTTCGTCAGGGACTTCAGGACGTGGTCAAAGTCCGGCCTGGAACCCTCCACGTCTTCTTGGACTTCGTCTACCTCCACGTGAACCAAGACCGAATATTGGCAATGCTCCTCGCTAACAGGGTGGGGGGGGGGGGGGGGCATGGCGGGACTCGCATTTGTGCGCGTTGAGAGCCGGCGAGGTGTCAGGTGGCCAGGCTTCCTAGTCCCGTCCCCATGCCGAGCCGTGGCACAAGTCATTCATTCCAGTTGCTTGTCATTCATGCTAACTACAAAGTGTCAAACGTCTATGCCAGCTGTGTTAACCCTCGGCAATAAAACAGGGTCATATCTTGGCATACTCGGTCCCAGGACATCCCCAGTACCTTAGTAGGTTCTGTGCCACAACCAGCCATGCGAATCTGGGCGATGTTCTTGCCGGTTTCCGAAAACTGCATTTGATGCGTTCATGTTTATGTCAGTATTTTCACCAGAGCGGGGCTCAGACACAAATCATCAATACCAACTGGGTGCTTAACCACTGCAGAAGAACAGGGCCATCTCTCCGCGTGCCATCGAAGAGATCTGTAAAATATGTTTTAAGTCATGAATGATGTAGAGGCCAGACCAGCTGGTAGCCAAGTCGAAAGCATTGAGCCTTCCACAAAGAACAGCAAATATAGTTTGCCTTCCTTTCACGCACAACATTCTTGTGAAAGACGGACTTTGGAGCAGCTTCAACTAGCCAACAACCGATCAA